TTGGGGTTGGCTTGATTCCCAGACTGCACTGGAGCCTTACGCTTTATGCCCTGATGTTCAGTGCGTTTGGTGGGTACTGGGTTCCCGAATTCCATTGTGCCAGGGGGAAATGCACGTCCAACCAGCACTACGGCACAGGCTCCCTCGCCTTAACTGAGAACAGTACAGTTTCCACTTGCCTTGGGGTAGAGGACCTTGCTTTCCCTCCTGCAACTTAACTGTTAGCCCAGTCAATGGATGCTATACTGCCTGGGGATCCATGGACCCAGTAATGTGCTAGGTCTAATGTGACAGTGCTTGGTCAGGTGGGTGCCGAAAGGGGAAGTGTGATATTGGTGTGTGCCCCTCCCTCCCAGCATAGAGCAAATGCTGGCCGCCAACCCGGGCAAGACCCCGATCAGCCTTCTTCAGGAGTATGGGACCAGAATAGGAAAGACGCCCGTGTACGACCTTCTCAAAGCCGAGGGCCAAGCCCATCAGCCTAATTTCACCTTCCGGGTCACCGTTGGCGACACCAGCTGCACTGGTGAGGAAGGCTTGGGCAGCCTGGCTGGGGTGTGCATTCACAGGGCCCGTGGCTTAATATCGTGGGATCGCTTCACCACAGTCCTCTCCTTTAAGGCCAGGGAGGGATGGAGAGGTTTCAGGGGAAAAACCACTGCCTGAAGGTGGATAGGACCCGAGAGACTCACTGGTGAGAACAGGAAATGTCACAGGAATTTGCTGCTCTTACCACCTTAGATGAAAAGTAGATGAGACACTGAACTACCCATGGGTATTTGGGGGAGCAAACACACACTTTGCTGGCCTCTTGACCCATATTGACCATAGAGGGCTTAGTATCAGAAATTAAATGACTGGCCCTAATAAGTGGCAGAGTAGAGCTTTGACTTTAGAACTGATCCTTTGTTGTCTCTATTGCTTATTTGTTGAGGGAAAAGAAAGTGCTTTTGCAGAGAAAAGGAAGACACCTCCCCTCTCCCCAGTGTTGGAGCTCAAATCCTGCCTTACATGACTTAATTATGGGAGATAATTGAAAGCTAAGGGCTGCTCTAGGCCCATTTATATTGTGATAAAACACCTTAACTAAAGCAGCATAGGGGAGGAAAGGCTTGATTGGTTTACAGTCATCATTGTGGGGAAGGTATCCACAAAGCAGAGAGCAAAGAGAATAAACTCATCCTTGCTGCCTGCTTGCTGTTCCACACAGCATTACAGCTGACCAAGGCACTTACTTCACAGCCACAGAAGCACAGCGGAACAATGGCAGATGCCCAGTGCTTCCACATTCAGGGCCACCTGCCTTGCAAGGGATGGTACCACAATAGTTGAGCATTTCTACCTCAATTAACAATCAAGACAGTCTCCCACAGACATGTTCGAAGGCCAGTCTGAGCTAGGCAATTCCTCAATAAAGGCTCTCCTTTCATATGATCCGAGGTTGTGCCAAGTTGACAGTTAAAACTAACTAGGACAAAGACTATTTGAGCAGTCAGCAGAGCCCTTCTAGTCTGGCAGGGGAGGTTGGTAAGCGAGCTGTTCAATCCCTTGGCTGTAAGGAGAGAGGCTGTGGGGGCTGGTTTCTCTGCTGTCCTGCTGGTGACCTCCAGTATTGCCCACACCCCTTTTCTTAGGTCAGGGCCCCAGCAAGAAGGCAGCCAAGCACAAGGCAGCTGAGGTGGCCCTCAAACACCTCAAAGGGGGGAGCATGCTGGAACCAGCCCTGGAGGACAGCAGGTGAGGGAGGAACAGTCAAGGGACACTAGAAGCCCTGCTGAGAACCAGGCCTCCTCACCACCTACTTCTCTTCCTAATCCAGGCCTGGTGACTCATGGCCACCCTGACCTGGCCCCTTCCTGAGAATTTCCTCTAGGGTGCTTCTAGGGTAATAGCCCCTTTGATGGGTGGTGGCTACTCTGGGCCCGGGGTAAGCCATAGAGGGTGGAGACTAAGGCTGATAAGGCTGATGGTCCCAAAACGCCCCCTTTCTAGCCACATGACTTTCCCTCTTCTACATTCAGGTTGGAGCTTGTTGGGTAGGAAGAAATTCTGTTTTCTGAGCCCTACCCCTACCCCACCCTCAGTGCTTTTGAGCCAGTGTGGGTCAGCAGAGGATCCCAGGAGGAAGAGCTGTTGCTGAGGCTCTCTTGAGTCTAGATCAGGGGGAAGGGATTCTCTCAGGGGATGGAAAGGTCAGAAAGACCTCATACTCTCATTCCCTTCTACATGGGTGTGAATCCAAGGCTCCCTTCCCCTTGGGAAGTTCTTTTTCTCTCCTAGAGTCTTCACTGCCCGAGGACACTCCTGTCATTGCTGCTGAAGTTGCTGCCCCTGTTCCATCTGCTATACTAACCAGGTACCTTGAGTTCCCTGACATCTCGGAGGGAGGCAGGCCCCTAGCCTCATAGCACTTGGACCCAGGCAGGTTAGGATGAGGAAGTCTTTAAGTAAACACAGAATGGAAGAATTGAAAAAAATTTGTACCAGCTCATTGGTAAGCTTGAGATAGGTAATTTATGATATTTAAATAGCCATGTGAAGGATGTTGGATTGTTCAAACATTTTATAGGCTCCATTTTCTGAGTTGGTTACAGCAGGTTCTGTGTTTAAGACCCAGAAGGTACTTCCAGGATTAGCTGTACAGACCCTTTACCTCTGTCATAGGGATACTGCTGAAGTATTTCCACATCAAAATGCTCCTGGGAACTAGCAGGGGCTAGCTTCATGGGGGGAGATATTTGGACAGATATAGCTGCCTGCTGGGTGGGAAAATTGGGAGATGGTGGTAGTGGCTGGTACTCGAGCCCATGACCAGCCCAGAAGAACCCGTTTTCCTCAGCATTGGTCTGGGCTCTTTTTCCTTCAGGAGCCCTCCCATGGAGATGCAGCCCCCTGTCTCTCCTCAGCAGTCTGAGTGCAACCCTGTTGGTGCTCTACAGGTGTGCCTCGTCTTCTGGTTCTCGTGTGCTGTCTTCTCTGGACTAGGGCTGTGAGGCATGGGTGTGTGTGCTGTGGGAGGGGTGATTATCCTTCTCACCCAAAGACTGAGGCTCCTGGGTAGAAGGCCATGTGGCTAAGGAGCCTTTCCTCGCTCATCCTTGGGCTCCCTATGTCTCCCTTTCAAGGAACTTGTGGTGCAAAAAGGCTGGCGTTTGCCAGAGTACATGGTGACCCAGGAGTCTGGGCCTGCTCACCGCAAAGAATTCACCATGACCTGCCGAGTGGAGCGCTTCATTGAAATTGGTAACGGGACAGTGGGGCTTACTTATCATCTGTTTCTGCCGCACTCTGACCCTGAGCATAAGGTGCTCCTTTGTCTAGCTGTGTTCTATCCCAGCTTTCTTTGCTTTGCTCAGCTCTTACTCCCTGTGTCTTCCTTGCCCCTGCCTATCTTTCCCCCTCTTTCTGGCCCACCAGCTTCTCAGTTAAAAGGACAGGCCTTCAGCTCCTCTTTACAGTGATACCCCATTGAGGGACCTTTAATCTAAGAATAACTTGGAGGGGAAGCATTGGTCTGTTAAAAATCCCCAAGTCCAGCAATCCCTTCCCCACACTCAGGCAGTGGCACTTCCAAAAAACTGGCAAAGCGTAATGCAGCAGCTAAAATGCTGCTTCGAGTGCACACAGTACCCCTGGACGCCCGGGATGGCAACGAGGCAGAACCTGATGACGATCATTTTTCCATTGTAAGTGGATTGTGTGGGCTTTCCATGTGGTTCACACTACAGGACATGGTGGGGACTTGGTTGGGTCTGTGATTTGGAAGTGAGTCTGGCCTGCTTCTTACCAAATCCCAGGGCTTCTTGAACTTGTGAGCCCAGCAGTCGCCTCAACCTGTTCTGTACTTACTGGTGAAAGTTTGCCCAGGGCAAAGCCCTGTAGGCAACTTTGACTGGGGTGAGGAAGCCTGAGTGGCCACTGAAGCAGGTTGCAGGGTTAGAGTGTGGGAGCCAGAGGCTTAGGCCCCACAGTCCTTACCACTTTCTCACTCTCGTCTCACTAGGGGGTGAGCTCCCGCCTGGATGGGCTTCGGAACCGGGGGCCAGGCTGCACCTGGGATTCCCTGCGCAATTCTGTGGGAGAAAAGATCCTGTCCCTTCGGAGCTGCTCTGTGGGCTCTCTAGGGACTCTGGGCTCTGCCTGCTGCAGTGTCCTCAGTGAGCTCTCTGAGGAGCAGGCTTTCCATGTCAGCTACCTGGACATTGGTATGGCCAGCTGGGGGATTGGGGGTGGAGGAGGCAGGACCAGATCAAGTATAAAGGGGTTAGGAGATGGGTGACATACACCCTATTTGGTGCCCCTCCCCCATTGCCTCCCTCTTCTTTCTTGGTTTCTAGAAGAACTGAGCTTGAGTGGGCTCTGCCAGTGCCTAGTGGAACTGTCCACCCAGCCAGCTACTGTGTGTCATGGTTCTGCAACTACCAGGGAGGCAGCCAGAGGTGAGGCTGCTCGCCGCGCCCTACAGTACCTCAGGATCATGGCGGGTAGCAAGTAGTACCTTGGCTGCAGTGATGGATGTACGCCTTTTACTTTTTGCTCCTCCTGAGCCTGAGCCTATACATCAACCATGCTCTGGAGCCCTCCAGAGGTGCCATCTCTACCTCTGGCACAGACTGCCTGCCTTGAGACTGAGGAAGGCACAGGCAAGCAAGGAGACATGAACCATAGGGCCCTAGCCAGCACAGGATCTGCTTCCATTCTATGGATGACAAATGAAAAGGAAATTGGAATTCTACCAGAGTCCAGAATAAATGCTGCTCTTTGGCTTCCTAAACCCTGCTTTCTCTGGCCCTGGGTCATGTGGTTGTCAGAGAAATAAACATGGTGTATTTGTTTATTTTACTGATTCCCTGTTGTTTTTGCTGCAAGCAGAAGGCTACGTGCAGTGAGCTGGGGACCCATTCAGCAGAATGGTGGGAGTTTGAGTGGGGGTGAAGGGGGCTATGCTTCTTGCCCTTGGGCTCCACCCATTCCCTGAAAGTCTTGTCCAAACACATAGATTCACAAGCCAGACCATTTTATTTAGGGGGACACATGGCACACACATGCAGACATTACAGAGGATGAGGCTGTGTTACTTCTTCCCAAAGCGCTGAGGGGCAGCCAGGCTCCAGAACTCTCTAGCCTGGGGACTTAGCTGTTCTTTGCTCCAGGACCCCCAGGCACTTCTGCCAAACCTTTGGAGAGATTCATCCTCAGTTGAAGCTCCCTGTGTCTTACCTTCCTTCACCTCTTCCTCCGCCCTCCGCCCTCCGCCCTTCCCAGCCTCTGCCTGCTAAACCTCACCTCTGGGGCTGAAAGAGGAAGGCTGGGCTCCTGCCAGGTCTCTTCATGGCCTGGAGCAGAAAACGCAAGAGGGACCCAGGAGTCTGGGCATACTGTGATGGATAGGGTCCCCCATCTTCTTCCTATGATGAGAGGGTGACAGGGAGGGGAAAAGCCTCTGGACACTGAAGACACCTTGCACAGGCTGAGGAGCCATTTCCCTTAGAAGCCATACTTCATGAAGGCTTTAGCAGCCTGGAAATATCAAACCCTGTATTACAAATTTCAGCTAAGGGGAAAATGGTGCTGGGAAGGGTGACCACTCACTGCAAAGACTTGGTCTCCATCCCGGCTTCCTGGTTCTTCAGTGCGGCCCCAGTCCAGCAGCAGCAGCAGCAGCAACAGCAGCCGCACAGCAACCCGCTTAGAATCCATGTTGCCATCCACCTCCCCACTGGCACACCATCCTCTTATACCTGCTGTCCCCCACCCCCACCTCATCAGCAGCCTGGAGGGAAATGTAGACAGGCAATAGAAATGCATGGCTCTATTAAGAGCCACCTGGGACCCCCCTCCCATACCCCCCTGGGGACTTTCTGCTCTCAGCTTCCTACCCCAGCCTAAGCCTGGAGTTATAGACTTTATTAGATGCATAAATCCTGTCTCCAGAGCTCAGGAAGCATCATTAATTGCAGATGGTTTGTCAGAGCTAGGCCCTGGGGGAGCCTTATAAGAACCCCCAATCCTTCAACAGGTTGGAGAGCTTCAATTGATCAACTCTTGTTCCTGACTGGATTGAGTATTATTTCCTGGATGGGAGGGTAGGATCACAGCCCATTAGAATCCCTGCTCCTTCTAGTGAGGTTAAACATGGAATCCCTACTCATAAGATTTACCTATGGACAGTAAAGTGAGTTACAGGACAAGGTGGGTTTGGGAGTCTTACTGAGTCGAGGTGTCTTATAAATTTTGTGGACAGCCCATCTTTGTTAGAGAACTGGGACTCCACAGCTGAGCTCTGCTGCCACCTTGTGGTCACTACTGTTTACTGTCAGGTCCAACCGTTCCCTTTTCCAAGTCTTTTTATCTAGGAGGATTTAAGGACACAGTTCTTTGGAGGTTTCCCTCTCGTCATCACCGCCTCTGCCTGGCTCTGGTTCTAATATGCTACTGGTGCTGGTGACTAGGGTCCCGCTTCAGGGAAAGACAGAATCACTCCAGGTCAGGGAAGGACTCTTCAAAGGAGCTAGTCCTAACATTACCTGGCGTGCAGGTATCAGTGTGCCATGTCTCTAGCAGGACTATGTCAGGGTTCTGACTTAGCCATAAGCAAAGCAAGCCATCACACTCTCAGCCTTGCTTTCTTCACATACAGGAACAATAAAGTGAATTACTTAATATGAGAAGCATTATTTGTAGCAAAGCACAGAGCTGGTATTTTCCAAATGTCAACTGTGATTACCTTTGCTTTCCCCCCCACTCCAGCCCCAGGGAACTTACCATCTCCAGAGACTTTTTTTGGACACACTTCTCCCTGTGCTGAGCTGGCTTTAGCTTCTTGATGGCCTCCATCACGTCTTAGTTTGTTCCATGGAGTCTCAGAACATCTTTCATCCCATATGTAAAAACCCTCCACACATTCCATTCATCCCTATCTTTTTTGCTCAAGGGGGAGTGCTTTATTGTAATCTACTTACATTTAGTTTTGTAGATAAGAGGTGCTTTTTAGTTAGTTTTGTGGTCTTGGGGATCAAATCCAAATCCAGGGCCTTGTGTATGCTAGGCAAGTGCTCTACTGTAGAGGGGTACCCTCAGTTCTATCTGGATGGTCTAGATACATCTATCTAATGGTGCAACCTAGGCCTGGGTGAACATTCTGTAAGCTCTGTCTCATGATTTTCCCATAGAACCTGTCATTCATTATGGTCATATCTTTTTTTTTTTTAAAGATTTTATTTATTATGTATACAACATTCTGCTTCTATGTGTATCTACACACCAGAAGAGGGCACCAGATCTCATAACAGATGGTTGTGAGCCACCATGTGGTTGCTGGGAATTGAACTCAGGACCTCTGGAAGAGCAGTCAGTGCTCTTAACCTCTGAGCCATCTCTCCAGCCCTTATGGTCATATCTTAACAGTTCACTGCTTTTTGTTGTTTTGGGTTCTTTCTCTCTTGTCTCTGTCTCTCTGTGTTTAAAACAGGGTCTCACTATTTAGCCTTGGCTAGAACTTGCTATGTAGACCTGCCTGCCTCTACTTCCCAAGTGTTGGGATTAAAGGCCTGTGTCACCATGCCCAGCTTGTTTGTGGTTTTCTAAGATTGGGACTCTGTATGTAGCCTAGTATGCTGGTCTTTGTTCTCAGCCTCCCAAGTGCTGGGATTATAGATGAGCATCATCAACACCTGGCAGGAGTTTTTTTTTTTTTTTTTTTTTTTTTTTTTTTTTTTTTTCCCTCGGAGACAAAGTTCCTCTGTGTACCCCTGGTTGTCCTGGAACTTGCTCTGTAGACCAGGCTGGCCTCAAACTCACTGAGGTCCACTTGCCTCTGCCTCCTGAGTGCTGGGATTAATGGTGAGCGCTGCCACTGCACAACAGGAGTTTAGCATTTTCTCTTTGCTCTTGTAATTCACTCTGACTTCAGTAAACTTCAATTCATTCTCAATAAAATGAAGCAACCTGCATGCTGGAGGCTGTGAGTACAATGTCCAGCACCCAAACAACAACAAACCTAACTGCTCCTGTCATCAAGAGGCTGTGGTGAACAGTAAATGGAAGGAATACACAGCAATCCCACTGGACCACAAACAAAGCAGTCACTCTGGGGTACCATGGTCTGGGCTGACCCTGCATTCTGAAAGAAGCCAGCAGACTTCTGTGGAGCAGGTACCTTTACCTCAACATAACTTAATTCTTCTTACCTGTTTCATTGTCTTACCTTGGGATTCCCAACTCCCAGACTTCTTATTTATTGAAATACAAGGTCTCAGTCAGGCAGTGATGGTGCATGCCTTTAGTCCCAACACTGGGGAAGCAGATCTCTTGAGTTCAAGGCCAGCCTGGTCTACAGAGTGAGTTTCAGGACAGCCAGGGCCATTACACAGAGAAACCCTGTCTGGAAAACCAACCAACCAATCAACCCATCAACCAATAAACACAGGGTCTCACTTTGTAGCCTTGGCCTAGAACTTAATATGTAGACCAGACTGGTCTATGGCCTTTTTCAAAGACTTATTTTTATCTTTAGTTGTTTGGATGTCTGCACTCATGTATGTGAGTGCAGGTACCTGGGAAGGCCAGTCCAGAATCAGATACTCTGGAGTTGGAGTTGTGAGCTGCCTGGCCAGGAATTGAACCCAAGTCCTCTAGAAGATCAGCACTTAACCACTGAGCCATCTCTTCGGCCCCTCTCCCAAGTGTTCTTTCTTTCTTGAGTCCCCTGTGTGTTCCCCTTTTTTATTTATTCATTTACCTGGGGGTGAGATGAGACACATGCCCCACAGAGCATATCTGGAGGTCAGAGAACACCTTGACAGTTCTCTCCTTCCATCACATGGGTCCAGAGATCAAACTCAGATCTTTAGGCTTGGTGGTACCTTTACCAGCCCTACACAGTAAGAACCAACAATAGTGTATTCACTTCTTGGATCTGTCCTACCAGGAAACTCAGAGGTGCCTGTTGTGTCTTTTGTTGAGTTCTTCAGTCTGTCTCACTGTTCACTTTCAATGGTAATTATAAAAGAATACACAGACACAAGAGGAACCAGTGGACCATCTGTTCCTTTCTTGAGCATTACCTGTGAGCTTTTAAACAAAGTCTATCTCACATTTCCAGGCCTTTTCCTCTTTTTCTTTTCTTTTCTTTCTTTCTTTTTTTTTTTTTTCAGACAGGGTTTCTCTGTGGCTTTGGAGGCTGTCCTGGAACTAGCTCCTGTAGACCAGGTTGGTCTCGAACTCACAGTGATCTTCCTGCCTCTGCCTCCCAAGTTCTCGGATTAAAGGCATGTGACACCACCGCCCGGCCCTATTTTTAATTTTTTCCTTCTATTTTTAATTGTGCGTGTGTGTTGGGGAGGGAGTTGTGCAGGTGAGTGCCGTGCTTGTGGAGGCCAGAAGAGGGAGGGCATCTGATCCCCTGGAGCTGGAGTTATAGGTGGCTGTGTGCCAACCAACATGGATGTGGGAACCAAACTTGGGTCCTCTGCAAGAGCAGTATGTAGTCCTAACGACATCTTTCCAACCCTCTCTCCCTTCTATAGAAAGCTTGACTTTGTCTCTGTGTACACTACCCAGTCTCTTTCTTGAGAGTATGAACTTTTCTTCCTTTCAATTGTTGCAAGTGGGTGATGACAAAACACTGAAAGAGAAGAGTTTCCTGGTCTTCAGGCACTCCCATTCCCCGTTTAAATGAAACACACATTAAGTTCTCCAGAAAGTATTTTGGTGATGCCTTGTCTGAGGCAATTCAAAGAACTGAACTTTGTAATACCATGTTACTTACAGAAAGCAGAGATGAGAACCCTGCTCTTTCTGCCCTAAGAAGTGGAAGGGAGAGAGGATGATCAGACATGAAAGCCCAGTTAGTCACCAGGAGTGGCCAGGGGCCCCATGGGTCTGAATAGGGAAGCACCAAACATACCAGTGATTCTCTTGATAGTTTAATGTTATATTTGCAGCATAAATAAGGCACAGTATATGTCAGGGCAAAGGACAGAGGGAAAAGGCAAGGCTGGGTGATAACTACTAAATGGCATGGGGGAAGTAAGAAGGGATGGTTAGGGAGATGAGCTCAAAGCCCCTGCCTCAGCCCTGCCCCAGGAGATTGTGAGAACCTGCTCACAGGGGTCATGCTGAATTGGGTAGAAGGAAAGGAGAAAAGACAGTTTTGTAACAAAACAGCCCATAGCACTGTATCCTCCCTCCTGTCAGGGTCTACCACTGGAGCCTGGGGAGACCCAGACTGGGTTGAGTTCCTTGAGGATGGAGAGGTATTGCTACATGTCAAAAATATATAGGTGAACAGAGATATATTCATAGATACACATTTCTTTCTTCTCAACAGATACTTTATCAGGATGTAGCAGACCCCACTGTGGGAGTGGAGGCTAATCTCCCTGCCCGCAACTTCTTTAATTATTGCTACGTGTGTGTGTGTGTGTGTGTGTGTGTGTGTGTGTGTGTGTGTGTGTGTGTGTGTATGTGTGTGCGCACGCGCACGCGCGCATGCACACACACAAGGAGAAACTGGACAACTATGGCTCCTGCTGATTTTGTTGTTTGTTTGTTTTGAGACAGGGTCTCACTGTGTAGCTCTGGATGGCTTTGAACTCCCTGTGTAGATTAGGTTGGCCCTAAACTCAGAGATTCTCCTGCTTCTACCTCTGAAGTCCTGGGATCAAAGGTGTCTCCCATCACTCCCGGCTTTTCTGCTAGTTCTTAATGAAACCAAAATTGCAGAGTGGGAACCTGCAAGGGAGTATGGTAAGTCCTGTCCAGAACAACGCAGGAAAACATTTTAGAGCTCAGACTGGAAGGAAGACAAACCTAGAATTTGAGATGAGTGATATGGCGGTCACTGTTTAGGAGGGACTGAGGGAAATAAAAACTCAATGCTAATGCATAGGACACATTTAAAGTAATCCTTGTCATCCCAAAACTAAGATGCTCCTAGCCTGTCCCCCAGGGACTCCTGCATTAGTGTGTACTAGAAGCACAGAGTGCTTGTTAAAGCTCACCTTCAGGGTGTCCAACTCAGAAGGTTGGGATGGCCAAGAGAGTGCATTTCTAGCAAGCTCCAGATGATGGTGTTGCTGATGCTGCTCTCGACCATGTTCTGAGAACCACTGCCCTAAGGTAAAGTCAATGAAACTACTGCTCACAGCCACTTAACAGCTGCCAAAGAAAACACCTAGTAGCTAAAATAGAAACGTGCATCTACAAGGACATAAGCTGCCTTAACCTGCCCTACTCTCACCAGCCTTTGTTCATTTGGGGTAGGGTTTTACCTCAAAGTAACAGTGCAGAAGGCGGCAATGTTGGCCAGCAGGCACTGTGGGCACTCCTGTGGGGTCACCGCCCTGGTTGGAGTAGGAGGATTTGTCTATGCACATGCATGTGTATACAGAGAACAGAATTTGTAAGAAGAATGTCTAGCTGGACTGTAGTGGGGTAGGATCTTCTAATAGGCCTTAGGGTCCTCATCTGTCCTGCTCCTCCAACCTTTCTGGACAAACATGTCTAAAGAAAGGAGGAAGAGGTCATCAGCAAAGGCACGTGTGACACAGCTAGAAGACTGGAGTGTAAACAGACTGACTATAATGTATTTCTTTTTTGTGGATATAGTAAATAATATTAATGGATATGTTATCTGGGGATGGGAAGAAAGTTATGAAAGGGACAAACTGGGAAGCATAATCTCAGGAGTTAGCACCTTTAAGGAGCCTCTCAGAAGCAAGAGGAGAATTGTATGTGTCTTTTTGGTAGTTCAGGCTGTTGATAGCACAGGTTACAGTGAAGCATTCCACCTCTCAGGATGATGGTGTGGGAGGGCAGGTCCCTGAGGAGATGGGAGAAGTCAATCAAGAAAAGGACTCAAGAGCTACAGAATGGGAGAGAGAAGGCAGGCAGCAAGGCAAGGCTCACCAGCACAGCTCCCTTTAGTATGTGGTCTGTTGCTGACACCCATGGACAGGAGTGGAGGAAGGAGGCAGGCAGATTTAGAGTGTTTAATCAACAGGAAAGGAGTAAGGGGCCATGTCCTTTCTAGTTCTCCTTGGGTGCTGGGAGGCTTTTCAGCCTTCCCAATTCTGAACAAGCTTTGTTATGTGGGACAGGGGTAGCAAGGGCACAGAGAAGGGTCCTCAGACATCACATTCTCAGCTCCTTTCTGATAGGTTCTTAAGAAGAGCTCAGTGGATTATGTAAAACAAAACAGAGTTCAAAAAACATGAGTTAAAACTGGAGGATACGTCCATCTAACGTGATGCATAAAACACCACAGAGAAACACAAAGATTGTGAGACCACAGCCCACTAGGGACACACTCCAAACCTCTCCTTAATGGAAACCAAAATTACTAAGATGACTGAAATGTCCGAGAAAGAATTCAGAGTCTCATTTTAAAGAAGGATAAATGACTGTCTCAAATATTTCCTAGCAAAGGCTGGCTTGGAAATGAAAAAACAAAAAACAAAAAACAAAAAACCAAAAAGAAGTCTCAAATACACATGAATGAAGTAAGGAATTGTATACAAAGACCTCCACAGTGAACAAAACAGTGAGTAAGCTGGAGGAAGTTAGAAGTCAGAAATATGGAGGGAAATTTTAGTGAGGGCATTCAAACATGGAAAAGGAACCAAACAGAAATTAACATGAAAGAAACAAGTGAAAAACCTCACCAGAAAGCATCACCAAGAGATAAGATCAAGCAGTTTGGGAATGGAGGGCAAAGCTAGGACAATAATATACTCAGACATTATATATAAATTAACATGAGCAGCATTTCCAAAAGGCTTGGGATATACTCAAAAAAAGATCAAACAAACCTCAGAACCCATGGGGTAGAAAGAGGACCTGAGATAAATTCAAAAGGAATAGTCAAATTATTTAATGAAATTAAAGCACAAAATTTCCTAAGCCTAGAGGCAGAAATTGATTTCCAAATACAAGAAGCATATAGAACCCCAAATAGCCATGGCTAGAGACTTCTGTATGACAGATCACAAGATGTCAAGAAGGGTTTATTGACACCCTCTATGATACCTGGTTCTGGTTCACATAAGTCTGGAAGGCAAAGGTCTGGATAGTGACCACTGGCAGCAATAATGTAGGTGACAATCCCCTTGACTGTAAAAGAAGCTTCATTGTAAGCAGTTGCTGTTTTTTTGTTTTGTTTTGTTTGTTTTTTAAAGAGTAAACAAAAAATTGCTTCCCTACTACAGTTCTGGTTGTGCTTGACATCATTAAGGTCCCCAATACTAACTTCCTGCTATGAAAATAAAGACCCCAGAGAAGTAGGCACTAGAGTAAAGGAAGTGACATTGAACCTCCACATATACTAGATATCCACATGGGGGTAGGCTGGTAGGGTATGGATGAAGCAACACAGACTCATAACCCTTTAAAAACCCTTGACTGATGGGGGAAGAAAGATAGCCAAGGGTCTATGAAGGCTCCTTGGGAGCCATAAACTCAGTCATGCTTTAGTGCAAGGCTGCTAGTAGAAGTTAAGACAATTAAAAAAAAAAAAAAAAAAAAAAAAAAACCGGGGGGGGGGGGGGGCCCCCTCCTTTAATCCCAGTACCTGGGAGGCAGAGGCAGGTGGAGCTCTGTGAGTTCAGCCTAGTCTACAGAGTGAGTTCCAGAACAGCCAGAGAAACCCCACTTTAAAAAACAAAAATTTAAAAAAAAAGAAGAGAATTTATAAACAGGAAAACAACAACAGAAAACCCCAAGAAGCAGCCATCCAAAGAAATCCTGAGCACAAACTATGGCTGTGAATTTCTAAAGCCAAGTGAAATCCCCGGGGATGGTAACCTGCCCCTGACCATCTGGTGACATTTGCTAGCCTTGTCACCTCAGGGGCTGTTCCTGTTGAGTCCCTGGTGGTAGAGGATGAGAAAACCATCTCCTGTGTTTTCACTGGGTGTGGCCTGGTCAGCACTGACCCTAAAGAGGAGGAGGGAAAACTTACATAAAACGCAGCAGAACATGTCACTGGATGGGTGGGCTCACTAGTCTAAGCTCTCAGGAAATAATTATGTAAGGTAGAACATTTTCTCTATTTTTCCATAACAATGAATTTTGGAAGACAAAGTGAAAAAGGAAGCGAGCAGTTACTGTGCACATTTAAGATGGAGGCAGGAGAGGAGACTCTTGGCTTGAGCAGATGGCAGAAGGCGGCTCTCGGACAACTGGGAGGGCTTTCTATTCAAGAGCTACTAAAGCTGACCTATCTATCCACAGGCCTCTGGCTCTGGAGGAGACTGCACAGTTCAGAGCCAAGGAAAAATGAGGAAAAGGAGGGGTGTATCTCCCTCTCGGTATCCCACCAAATAAGGGTAGCCAATAGCCACAGGCAACAGTCTCCCAGGCAGATGGGCCATATCCTGAGCGCTTTGCTGAGGTTATCCTTTTTCTTCTTTTCTCTCCACTCACTCTTACACTCAAAAGCCGCTCAGGACCTTGACCACAATGTTTCAGAGCCCTGGAGCTTGTGCCTTGGACAAGCACTACATTTGCAGGACAGAAAACAAAAAAACAAGTTCAAAGAAATTTCAGGACTAGAGACACCTAGTGGCTAGGCTAGAAACCTGCTGAGAGAAAGCAGGTCGAGAAAGAGAAAGGTGATGGACACTGGTGGTTATAAGATATACCTCAGAAAAGAAGGGAGGCTGAGAGCTGTGAGAAGAAAAAAAGGAATAAGAGAATGAAAGCAGCTCCTGTTTGACAACCTCCAGGAGGGCTGATCTAAAGTAGCTATGGTAGGAAAAGGCATTGATGTGGACATGGGAGCAAAATGGGGAGGAAGGAGCACACAGATGACCAAAGATGACAATATGTAGACTTTTGCCAGTAAACTATTGTAAAACATAAGAGAATTAGTTAATCCAGTAACCTGATGGAACGAGTTTTAAGTTACACTGTTCCTGTCTGCCCTGATGATTAGAACTGGAGGGTAAGGAAGGAGACAGAGAAGCCCAGTTAGATCCCAGGCTCTCTCCCTTTTCATTGCCACTAACAATAAGGCCACAAGATGAGGTTCCCAAGGCATAGTGGGGAGGTAGGAAAGACCCCACCACTAGACTAAGGAAAGTCTAGAGACAAAATGAGGTACCCAATAGATTTGGAAATGAAAAATGATTCAAACTCTCAGAGTTTTACTTTTTTTTTTTTGGTTTGTGTTTGTTTTTGGTAGCAGATAGGAATAAGGAATAAAGCACATGTAAGAAGTGGAAAATACTGCTACTTCATACATCAAAGGGATTACATTCTCAATAAGTGAATGTTTTCACTGCAATTTAGGAAGGGGGAAAAGAGATAAATAAGCAGCTATTGGGAGACAAAGTCCTGAGTGCATGGGGTGGCTGGGGTTGGGACAGCAAGTAACATGCCATCAAATCTAGTCTCCCTCTATCTGGCAGGAAGTGGCATGCTAGTAAGGAATAAGGAGATAACAGCCACAGCTCACTGGGAGGAGAGGACACTGAGAAACCCCAAACCTACAAGTGCAAGGGTTAGTGTTAAGAGACAGGTACACATGCATCAGGGCCAGGGATGATTGCTCAGACCATATGGAAAGGCCTTTGGCTGTCGGTACATAAGAAACCCCACCATTGGGGGATAATCTATGTGGCTTGGGGCCAGAAGCCCCTAGTACAGGTGTCAAGCATACATGATCATGTGGCTAAAGAGAAGAGCCCGACATCTGTCCATACTCACAACACACAATTTCTTCCTCTCCCATACTGCCACATCCAAGGCAGAAGGGAAGGGTAAGTTGATCTCTCTCTTGGCTCAGGCGGGCGAGCTCTGGCTGGGGATCTCTCCGTCACAGGAGGCATCATCTGCCCGCAGACTGTGACTGTGGGGTCATGATCACATGTGACTGTATGGGCATACTTAGTTCTGTCCTTTGGCTGGCCATCTGAGTGAGAACCGAGGTGGCCACAGCTTCAGCTGCAGATCGAACACTAAGGCCATTGCTAGGGGCTGTTGCAGAGCTGTGCTGAATCACTGGGGCTGGGGAACCCGTTGGCTCTGAGCTTTCCTTGGGACTTTCTGCCAGGAAGGAGGACAAACAGTAGAGAGCAAGTGGTCAAAAAACAGGACAAAGGAACAGAAAAGACTATGTTTTGCCGTAATTACAAAGAATACAAAGGAAAATGAATCTCATATTTCTTTTTGGAGAAAACTCTCCAGAATCCTGACTTCTCAAGTCATGAATGACCTGGAGAACAACAAGGTACAAGAAGCAAGAACTGAGCCAAACTGGGGCACAGCATCACATTTAATGCACTGTGATGGGAGGAAGCTCTTGTATCTTCATTCCTAGGTAGGTAAAAGCCCCCTTCTAAAGCCTTGTCCTCCATGTATTATCACAGTGAAGTTCACTTGTTTCCTCCAAGGAAAACTTTTAAAGGGATATGGATCCACTGTATCCCTGGCTGTTCTGGAGATCACTCTGTAGACCAGGCTGTCTTGTCCTCTGTGCTTTCAGAGCAGACATTCATTTATTCCTCAGGCATTTACTGAGCATTATCCACATGGGAGAGCACTGGAATATACAGCAGAAGCTCCCAGCCCAGGGCCCATTTACAGGATATCTATCCTTACCTCATTCACAGGTTCACAATGAGTCTTTGAGAGATAGGGACAATGCCTTATCTTATGTCAAGTACCTATATAATGTGGATGCCTCAAAGTAGTAATTAAATGCATCTTTGTTGTAATAAATAAGTAGTTTAGTGGATTAACTACCAGTCAGAATTCCTGCAGGGATTGAGTGGAAAACTAAGTATTGACTGCACACTGAGGAACACTTATCCTCCTTAGCTCATGAAGAGGATCTGAAACAACTGATCTAGGTAGACTGCCTCTGTACCCCTGATGTCTCCTGGAGAGTATCAGATCCTTCGTGTTGCACCTTCAATGTCTACAATATAAAAGCTGAAGCCATTGTTAGAACCAAGACTGCATGTGAAATGCTCCTAATACTTCTTTCTCCATCTCATTTCAATGTTGCTGTCCCCATTTAGCCACACTAGCCTTTCTCTGTATTTGTGACAGGTCTCTCTGTGTATCTCTGGCTGACCTGGAACTCATGGTGTAGATCAGGTTGGCCTTGAACTTGCAGTAGTCCTCCCACCTCTGCCTCCTGAGTGTTGTGACTACAGGTGTGGGCCACAATACCTGACCCTTTCCTCCCTTCTTTTTTTTTTGTTTTGTTTTTTAGACAAGGTCTCTCACTGTATATATAGTCAGGATGGCCTTGAATTTATGAACATCCTGTTTCCAACTCTTTGGTGGGGGGATTACATTCTCGTAGCACCATTTCCAGCTATATTATTATTATTATTATTATTATTAAGATTTATGCCAGTTATGGTTGTGTATGCTTTTAATACCAAACACTTGGGAGGCAGAGGCAGGCGGATCTCTGTGAATTCAAGGCCAGCCTGGCTACACAGAGAGTTTAAAGGCAGCCAGAGCTATGTGCACATCTATAAACCATGTATATGCTTGGTGCCCGAGGCACCTAACACTGAGGCATCAGATCAACTGAACTGGAGTTACAAGCCGTTATGAGCTACCACACAAGTCTTGGAAACCAAACACAGGTCTTCTGCAAGAGCAGTAAATGCTCTTACCCACTGAACAATCACTCTACTTCCCAGTTGTACTATTTTTTGTTTTTACACTTACTATATATCACATATTTCACTTATTTCTTTTACTGTTCTTGACTACTAAAATACAAGCTATTCAAGGACAGAGATCTAACCTAATCAGGAACTCAGTACCTGCACCCTGAAGTACATATTAATTTTTTTTTTTTGAGACAGGGTTTCTCTGTGTAGTTTTGGAACCTGTCCTAGCACTTGCTCTGTAGACCAGGCTGGCCTTGAACTCACAGAGATCCACCTGCCTCTGTATCCCAAGTGCTGGGGTTAAAGATGTGTGCCACCAACACCCGGCTATATTAAAATTTAAATAAATAATTCAATAAAGATTCCTAAAATTTTTCTCAGAATACATTTCTGAAATGATAAAGACAACTAGTAGAAAAACTATTTGCTATATCCAATATTTCTATGTGTTTATTTAATCTGTAAAGGAAAATTAGAAATTTTTAGTTTTTATTATACACAACAAATTATTCATTGTAATATTTACTTTATAATAGTGCTAATGCTGAGCCCAATTCTATGGACATCTCTGGTTACAGACTGAAACCAAGACCATTATAAACATGAAATCTGCCCTCAAGTCCCCATTCTTCAACTCCTAGGCACTGTCAGCTGTTCATCTTTTCTCCAGGCCAAGACTATGTTTGGGATCAGAAGACTTCTATTACTTTCCCACTGTGTGTGACTTCTGGTAAATGATCTGAGTTTTCTCACTTATAAATGGACTAGCTGCTTCATGGGAGAATTGTGAGGATGGCAGATAAAATGGGCCCAAGAAATATTGCTACTGCTTCTCTCCAACTATTATAGATAATTAGGATAATTCTGCATTACTGTCAAAGTTTTATTTTTTATTTGCTTGTTTGATAGAAAGTTTCATGTAGCTCAGGCTTGCCTCAAACTTTGGCCGTAATTGAAGACCTTGAACTGATCCTCTTGCTTACTAGGACTATAGATAAGGGGAAAAAAAACAAAAAACAATTTATTTATTTATTTTGGTGGAACTGATGCGCCACATAGAATGGCATTATAAGCAGCCAAGACAGTTCCTGTGGGCTGGGTGTTGGTGGCTTACACCTTTAACCCCAGCATTCGGGAGGCAGAGGCAGGCAGATCTCTGAATTCGAGGCCAGCCAGGTCTACAGAGCAAGTGCCAGGATAGGCTCCAAAGCTACACAGAGAAACCCTGTCTCGAAAAACCAAAAAAACAAAACAAAACAAAACAAAACAAAAAAACAAACAAACAAACAAAACGAAACACAGTTCCTGTGGTTACCAACTGACTGGATTTGCTTAGGTTGTGAACCACTCACCTAGGTAGCCTTGAGTCTTTTTCTGTAGTGCAGTGACAGGGCAATCTTTATGAGCTAACAGCAGCTGTTTCAACTGAGCTACTTCATTTCGTAGTAATGTGACTTCATTCTGAAGGGGGAGGGAAGAAAAGAATAGTAAGACAATGTTATATTAAAACACTACAGCAAACATTTGTATGGACTTACTAGAATTATTTTGTTGGTATCCATAGCAAACCATTTATTGTAATATTAAGTTTAGTACTGTTCTAATGTTGACTACAATACTGTGACCATCTTAGTGTGACAGCAGAATGCTGTCTAGATTTTCCTCCCCAAATTGGGACATGATCTGGCAAATCTTCAGAGAGCTCAGAGGCAGGACAGTCATGAAGTCAATGACAGAAACTGCCTACAATGAAAAGTAAGGACCCATAACAGGAAAAGAAAAATGACTTATCTGGGATAAGACTGGCTACTCCCAAATTAATAATGTAAGGTTTTCTGACCAAGAAGAAAGTGTGCTTCTGGAAATATGTTCTTGTTTGTTTGTTTGTTTTGACAATGTTTCACTTTGTAACCTTCGTTGGCCTAGAATTCCTTATACAGACCAGGCTGGTCTGAAACTCACAGTGATCTACCTGCATCTGACTCCTGAGTACTGGGATTAATGAATGAGTCATCAACTTGGCGTCAGAAATCTCCCTCTGTCTCTCTCTGGTTTTTCAAGACAAGGTTTCTCTGTGTAATAGCCCTGGCTATTCTGGAACTTGCTTGGTATACCAGGCAGAGATCCACCTGCCTCTGCCTCCCGAGTGCTGGGATTAAAGGCATGCGCTGCTGCCGCCGCCGCCACCACCACCACCACCTGGTGGAGCATTACTATTCTAATGAACAATTATAATAGTGTTACTGTCCACTGATCCATAAAACCTAACACACTCAGAGTGTAATACTATACAGCTGTTTTTTTAAAAAAAAAACAAGGCAAATCCTTCCTCTCCTTTGCCAGGTTTCCATGAGATACTGTTAAATCATTCATGTTTAAACCAACTCACAATCCCTCCAACTCTACTACAAAAACTAGAAATAAAAAAAAATTCAGATGATGGGTGGTGGTGATGCATGCCTTCAATCCCAGCACTTGGGAGGCAGAGACAGGTGGAT